CTTCTCCGCCGCCCGGGGCTGGCGTGGGGCTGCGCGGGTGCGCGCCGGTGCGCGGCCGTGTGTGCGTGCACCTAGAGCAGATCATTGGAGAGGGTTTCCAGAAGGTGGAAAATGTCACCTGATTCACACTGAACTTTTTAAATCTCCCCACCCCCGAGCAGACACACACACACATTAGGAGACCGCCCACCGCAGACAGCTAAGACCCCCGTATAGATTTAAAGAGAGACTGCATTCAGAGCCTGACGTTCATTCAATAGAGCGATCATAAGCAGGCTGGCTTGTGCTCGCTCCCTCTCCCGACTCCCCCTCACGCTGTTTCTGTGTCTCTCACTCCCTGCTACACTGAGGATGTTAAATCAGAGAATCCACCCGGGCATGCTCTTACTCCTGATGTTTCTCTGCCACTTCATGGAAGATCACACAGTGCAGGGTAAGACCGGATTGTTTATTCGCAGATATGTTTCTTTATTATTACTATTGTTTTCTGTCTTTCGGGGCACGGTTTAGTTTGCTGGCGGTGTTAAACGCCTCTCTCCAAGGTCCAACAGGACAGAAGTTAACTGTGGGCATGGGAATGCTTTGTACCGAGGTGCAGAGGTGTCACTTAAGGATCCTTTTTGATCGGATCTTTGCACTGCTCTGCACAGGCACAGAGGACAGATGAGGATGTTTCTTGGTATTTATTGTTATTATGCAGCATGAATGAAGAGCAGCATAGCGAGGGACCTTTCCCAGTTTCGGCTCCCGAATGAGTGCTCAAAGTTTGTTGGTAATTTAGCTCAGATTTTTATCTCGCCTGCCTGACGGAAGGAGAGGTGGTGATGAGGAGCCCCACGATTACAGCTGACATTTTTAGAAACCAATAAGTGGTCATTTTCCGGACATTCCTTTAATATTGGGCTTTCCTCCTCCCCTCTCCTGTTTCTTTTGGTGAATAAATATTAGTGTTGTAAATTCTCCTGCACTGAAGAGTATGCTTAAATAAGTTGGGGTGGTGGTTTGTTTTTTTTTTTTTTTTCCATGCGCGCAAAACAAACCCAAACCTGATATTGACAACTCTTAAGAGCCCTGTTTCGACAGAAGGGAATATTGATTTTTAGTTTGGGGGCTTTTTTCCCTTGTCTTGACCACGTTCCAACCACAACCTGAATGTCTTACCGTTGCTTGTTTTATATTTTTTGTCCTTTTTTTTTTTCTTTTCTCCCCCACTGCCGACCTAAAGCATAAATTAATCTAATGTAGGCAACTGTAAGACGCAAAACTTTTTTTTTTTTAAGGGCGTTGTTTGTTCAATGATTTTTAGCGGGGGGGGGGAGGGGGGCATATCTTGCCCCGCGCCCACGACATCTCTGCTGGCCGATCCTGACCCTTCGCTGCGGTACATTCCCATCGGAGTAAGGAGGCAGGATCGAGCCCTGGCTGGATTAGCACCAGAATCAATTGGTATTGAGTTGCTGGAGAAGTCACACTGGTTATTCACGAGAGACTCATCCCAACCAAAACTCTCAAGCTAAAAAAGGGGGAGTTGCTTAAACTAATGTTCTTGGCTTGACTCCACAAATAACAGGGATACTAGTAAAAAAAAAGGGG